TGTGTTAGTGAGCCAGAGCAGCATCTGGAAACTCAATCCTGTGAGACTGTGATCCGGGGCAGATGACAGGAAAGCGTTGTTGTCCAAAAGGTTGGGGAACATGTTAGCCGGGTCAAGGCCTAAGCAGCAGGCCTTGGCAGTGACATGCACTGTGAGCTCTGAGGGGAGGAGCATGGTGCACTGGTGGTATTTCCCAGACTGCACTGGTGGCAGGGTCTTTGGGGCAGAACATTTGATGACATGATAGTACTATGTGATTTGCTCTGGGATTTACCAGTTGGCTTACGAACCCAGAAAGAGTAGATGCACCCTCTTAAGCAACTAATGTAGCCCCAGTGAGTGAAAGCTGCCCATGAGTTCACAAGTGGGGGTTCAGGAGACAGTGTGGTTGGAAGGCAGGGGATGGATGTCTCCACAAGTCTGTGGAGAGTGGAACCTATTTCACCATAGATGGCAAGGGGTGTCTCTGTTACAATCTACTGGTCCCCTCCTGGACTCCTCCCTAGGAATTTATCATATATCATTTATAGGATATCTCATATGAGATATGTTTTTTTCTTTTCCCTTTTGCCCAGTTGACATAATTTTACTTGCTCCCCTAGCAGTTTATTTGGGACGATGGACTTGCATAAGAGTGGCCGGCTCTGGCCAAGCTCAGTGGCTCAGCCTGTAATCCCGCACTTTGGGAGGCCGAGGTGAATGGATTGCCTGAGCCCGTGGGTTCAAGACCCACCTGGGCAACTTAACGAGACCTCATCTCAACATAAATAAAAAAATAGCCAGGTGTGGTAGTGCACACCTGTAGTTCCAGCTACTTTGAAGGCTTAGTGGAAGGATTGCCGGAGCCCAGCAGGTGGAGGCTGGGGTGGCTGGAAGCGTGCCACTGCACTCCAGTCTGGGCAACAGAGTGAGACTTCAACCCCCAAAAAAAAAGAGAGAGTGGCTGGCTCTCCCACCAATACTCAGCAAACTTCCCATGCCTCTGTTAATCAGCACAGGGCATTTACAAGTCAATAAATCCCCTTGAAAAATGCCAGGAAGTTAGTTTCTGGTTAGCCACTAAGTGTTCTGGGGTAGTTTTACTTCAAACTTTAAAAAAGAAAATCGTTTAATGCTCAGATAAACTGTAAGTAACCCAACAGAAAATCTCTCTCTTTACAATTTGGGAAGCCCTTATTTTCCTCTCTCTCCAGGAACAGATATTCCATTGCTAAGGCTATCCATATACAATAGAATAAAGTTTCCCTTGTGAAATAAAAACTGAATCTAACACAGACAAAGCATTAACTGTCCATGACGTAAAAGACCGTCAAATCAAAATAAAATTAAACAAAGTATAACAAGCACAACAGTGGCTCTAAATAGCAGGCTGCAATTGTGAGTAATACACAGAGAACCATGTTGGAAAACATTAAGGCCCTGGAAACTCCAACTCAGGAAGTCTCGTAACTCAGGCTTACATGGGACCCACACAAAGCTGGGTGCTGCTGTGTAGCAGACGCTGTCACACGAAGTCTTCTTGTGCTTTGACATCCTGCTTGCAAAGGCTGATTTGGGGGTCAAATAAGCTCTCATGTGTGTGCACACAAGTAGTCAGGCAGATGTGAATGTAAGATTGCAAAGGAGAGTGGGAAAAGCTCACGAACAGCAGAACTCGTGAACAACAGGAGACACGGAAACAGAAGATGCTGCTCGCGGAAACAGGAGATGCTGCTCAAGAAATGGAAAACTGAGAAAGTCTAGATTCAGACAGTAATTCGGGTCATATTTTAGTTACTATTCCACCAAGTTTAGCCAAAGGGGAAAGCAGCAGTTAGTGAGCAACAGATGCAAACTAGAACCTGTTGGGGGGGCGCTGGGGGTCCCAGGGAGGGGGTCCCGGGGCTGGCTGAGCTCCTTGCTACCTAGAAAGGCAGATGGCAGAGGGCCATCCCACAGCCAGCAAGACGAGGCACAGACGGACTCAGCAACTTGCCTCGCCTGGTGTGGTTGATGAATGCTAGAATCAAGATTTGAGCCCGCAGCCCACTGGAATCGCAAGCCCTGCTCTGCAGCAGGTAAAAGTTGCAGGGAATGTGGTCCCCTCAGGGGAAAAGGATCCCATTGACATTTACCCTGATGGCAGGGCCAACTCGCTGTGCCACGAGGAGTCACCTTTGGAGCTGGGAATTGCCAGAGTTAATTAAGGAAGAGCTGCTGACTCTCTGGTGGCACCTGATGGATGAGGCAGGACTCACGCAGGACAGGCTGGCTCCTTCCCCCCGCAGGCTGGCTCCTTCACCTCCCGGTGGGGGCAGGCGGGCACAAACTCATGTAAACCACAAACACACCAGATCTTCTCAAGCAGTCATATGTCCTAAGAAGAAATCTAAAGAGGAAGTGGAGATGCCTGAGCAGGAAGGATAGTATGTGCAATTTCCTGCCTTAGATAATCAGACAAAAGGTAAGGAAGAATTTCTGGGTTTAGGAGTCAGGACATGAGCAGACCTTCAGTAATAATTCTATACCCAGTAAAACCTACCCTGGGCTAACCACCTTTTCTCCCAGAGCAGCCACTTTAGTGAGTTGAATAATGTCCCCGAAGTTTTATGTCTACCTTGGAAACACAGAATGTAACCTTATTTGGAAATAAGGCTTTGCAAATCTAATTTGTTAAAGATCTTGAGACACAATTAAAGACATTTAACCAGATTTACTTAGTTAAATATCTTTAATATAATCTTGAGATTATATTAGGGTGGGTCCTAAATATAAGACTAGAACTGTGTGGGGTTTTTTTTTGCATATAGTTATGAGGTACAAGGTCATGTCTTGATATGTGTGGAATGACTAAATCAAACTAATTGACATATCTATCATTTCACATACCTATTATTTTTTGAGGTGAGAACATTTAAAATCAACTCTCTTAGCAACTTTCAACTCTGATGACTGGTATCTTTACAGGAGAAAGAAGAGAAGCATCTGGACACAGAGACACAGGGAAGAGGACATGAAGATGGAGACAGATTGGTGTGATGCAATTATGAGCCAAGGGGCACCTGGGGCCACCAGAAGTTGGGAGAGGCCAGGAAGGGACCTCCCCCAGAGACTGAGGGAGCATGGCCTTTTGGACACCTTGGTTTTGGACTCTGGCATCCAGAACCATGAGAGAATAAATTTCTATTGTGTTTAGCCACCAAATTTGGTGGCAATTTGTTGAGGCGGCCATAGGAAACTCATAGTCACACAGAAATAACAAGCGTTTCACAGTAGGAGAAGCCACAGCATCCGAGGGACACCCAGCCCTCTTCTTGGACTGCCTCTTAACAGTGGATGATGTGACTCTGCTCTGTCACCAGGTTGCCACCCTGAGAATGAAAAGCACCTGGCAATCTGCAGTGGTGCTCACCAGTTCCAGGGTTGCTGAGGACCGATACCAGATGGTGCTGAGCTAAGCAGGGATGTGCCATCTGGTCACCCTGGGAGGTGGTCTTTGCTGCCACAACATGACCTGGACTCGGTGATGGGAGGGGGCCTCCCCCAGTGCATGGCCCCCACAACAGCCCATCTCATGGCGCCGGGGAGCCACTAGCTAAGGAGTACCCAGATGTGTTTTTGTTTCTTGTAAGTCAACATCTGCATCTGCCTGGAGTTGTGTCAGGTCAGTCCATAGCATCCACGCAAGTGATTCAGCAGGACCGACTGTCACCACTGACCAGGGAGGTATGAGCCACGAGGAATGACCCAGCCCAATGGGTCTGGCTCCCTTCCTCCTGGTCCTTGGCCCGTGCCTCAACACCCTGCCTGCTGTCTGAGGGGGGTAAGGGGCAATCATGTATGGGCACAGATTCCTTAAATTCAATGACGTGACATAGATACCCATTGTCCAAATAAAAAAACCCAGAATTCAGCAAGTTGGGCACAAGTGACTGATGCAGGGTGGAGATGGGCGAGGGTGAGACAACAGCGCAAGACCTTCTGGGGCCATAAGAGTCACTAGCTGCCTGGCTGGTGCTTGCACTTGCCCTCTGCACACAGAGAGGCCCCCAGCTGCTGTCTGCTCTCTTAGCCCTGGCTCTAGGGCAGGGCGAGCCTTTGGACAGAGACATTTAAGGAGTCCCAGCCAGGAGGCAGCAGCTGGTCCTCTGTCAGCCTCTCACTCACCAGGCCTCCTGCCACCTACACGGCCACCATCCCCTGAACCCTTCTGGCCTCTGCCTGTTTGTGCGCCTTGTTTTCAAGTCCTGACCTCAGAAAGCCACCCTCCTCCTCTGCCACAAACCACCTCAGTGCTCAGAGAAACGAGAACACAGGCATCGAACCACACTGAGTGCTCAAACGGGAGAAGTTTGTTCAAATATGGCTTACTGATTCGATTTTCAACAAGCAGGTAGGACAGGCACAGATTTGGCACACAAGACAATCACCTCAGTTTAATTCAAAAATTTAAAAGGCAGCCAGGTGCAGCAGCTCATGCCTGTTATCCCAGCACTTTGGGAGGCCGAGACAAGAGGACTGCCTGAGCCCAGGGGTTCGAGACCAGCCTGGGCAACTTGGTGAGACCTTACTTCTATAATATATCAAAAATTAGCTGGGCATGGTAGCACATGCCTGAAGTTCCAGATACTTGGAAGGCTGAGGCAGAAGGATCTCTGGAGCCCCGCGGGCTGTCGCTGGGGTGGCTGTGAGCATGCCACTTCACTCCAGCTTGGATGACAGAGTGAGATTCTGACTCAAAAAAAAAAAAAACATTAAAAAGCAGTTCTTGTGCACACACACACGCACACAAGCACCTTCTCTTGGCAAACACTCCGTTACCTGGGAGGCCCTGGCTGTGGGTCAGCCCATCTCCCCCCTTGCTTCTCTCCTTTGGCTCTCCTCACCAGTTACCAGCATGAAGGCAATGGGCAGGGAGTGCCCCCCCCCAGGGCAGCAGCACTTTCTGCTTAATGAGACGCCGGCCCTGCTCTTTTGAGCTGTCGGCTCCGGCCAGGACGCAGGGCTCCCTCCTGGCTTACCTTCGCAATCTGCACACACCAGTTGAGCAGGTGCTGGGAGCCGATGTTGTCCTTGTGCTCCCTGACGTAGTCCAGGAGGCAGCCAAAGGGCATGAGCTGTGTGATGAGCTGCACGGTGGATGTCAGGCAGATGCCCAGCAGGCGGCACACGTGTGGGTTGTCCACGCTGGCCATCACATAGGCTTCCTGGCAGGGAGGAGAAGGGTGGCATCAGAGAGGCCGCCCCTGGCTGAGGGAGGGACACAGGGACCCCTTCCAGGTGGAAAAGCAGGAAAGCAACTTTGAGTCTCAAAATATGTACGAGTGAAGGAAAAGTTGGCCCACAAAACCCCTAGTGCAGGAACATTTATGCAGGGCTGGGAAGTGACACGACCCTTCCTGGGGGCATCTGGGGACTCCACTTGTTGGAGAGACCCTGGCAGCATCTGCAAGGGGGCTGAGTCATCTTAACCTCTCCAAGTCTGAGAACTGCTGGTGTCTTCCTTGTGAAGCTTCAAGATATGGCTGTTCAAGATGTTGCTAGGCCTGTGGAAATCAGTGTCCGGGGAGTTTTGGGCCCAGAGCACCTGGACGATGACTTGCCCATGTGCCTCCAGGGCCTCAGTGGAGCCAACAGGTGCCATGAAGACTGCTTTGCCTGCAGAGCAGACCCGGCCCTGCCTATGCCAGGCAATGGGAGGGCACTGGGGCAGGGACCCTGCCCACAGCACCTCTGCAGAGAGCAGCAGAGAAGCTCTGTCAGTGTCACGGTCCCAGGCTCTGAAACGTACCAGGAGCAGTAAATCTACGGTGACTACAGACCACATCGTCTGCGCAGGGCCCACTTCTAGAGGGGGGTCTGAATATGCTGCCCCTCCCCAGTCTCCTGACGGGAAAGCCACACTGCCCTGCATAGTGCCTCCCCTGCCTCATTCTCTTGGGCTGACTGCCAAGGAAGAAGCCTTCCTTTGACAGATCTGTAACTACAGGCTTTATTTTAACCCTTCTGCTATTCTTGGATGAGGAAGCTACATTTAGTTGCGATCATGTACACAATGAGGGCCTCCCTTCTGCCTGATTAAGAATGGGGAATTCTTAATTTCTACCCATAATTCTCTTTTCCTTTAGCTTACAAATGGCAGTGACCTTTTATTCGGATGTGAAAAAGACCACAGAGGCTGAAAGAGAATGAGTTCAGAAGCTACTTGTACATTTCAGCAGCTCCAGTGTCTTGATTGTGGACTTGAGCAAGTCACTTTCTCTTTGCAGAAGCAAACACGCTTGGGCAGGAGGAAGGCTGCCAGGTGAAGGCCCAAGAAGGGTGATATTCCAGGATGCTGAAGTACAGACGTGAGCAGGCAGACGGGCGGGAGGTGGGGTGGGGACAGGAGGCAGAGGTGGTGGAAGGGCAGGAGGCACACAGACTGACAGCCGTCCCTTGGTATTCCTGGGAGATCGGCACTAAGGCCTCCCTTAGTATCAAGATCTGTGGATACTCAAGTCTATCATATAAAGGATGCACATCCTCCTATACACTGTAAATCATCTCCAGTGACCTTCAATGCCTAATGCGATGCAAATGCTACATAAATAATTGCTACTCTTCGTTGTTTAAGGAATACTGGCGAGAAAAAAGTTTGTGTATGTTCAGTATAGATGCAGTCTTTTCTCGAATTATCTTCAATCCCCAGTTGATTGAATCCGTCCACCAGTGTGGAACCACAGACATAGAGGATGGACTGCAAGTATTCCTGAAAACACTAGTGTGCTCACACATTCCTTGCCTTGTCTTGGGAAGCCCAGCAGCTCTGCAAGCCTCCTCCCCTCCAGCCTCTAGTCCTCCTGCTCTGCCCTCTGTCTTCCCCAGGCTTTCACTCACAGGAGGCTTTCACTCTCCCTCAATGCCCTTCCATCTCCTCTTCCCCTTGCTGACTTTTCCTCTGAGGAGCCTCCCTGGACTCCCCAGTCCCAGGAAAGTTCAGGGGAGCAGCCTCACGTTGCCTCGAAACTTGCTAGAGATGCAAATTCCTGGGCCCCACCCCAGGTCTAGGGGGTAAGACGAAGGGAGGCAGGGCCCAGTCATCCCTTTGAATAAACCCTCTGATTCTGAGGCTTGAAGAAGCTGAAGAGCCACTGCTTTGGGTGCTCATCATCATCTGTACTTCTGTATGTGTGTGATCTTAAAGACATCTTTCCCTACCAAGCCCACTGAGGAAAGGACTGCATTCTCACCTCCTAGCACATGCCTTGGGTCTAGCTGGTACTCTGTGGTACTGTATTGTGGGGCACACGCTTGCTCACACACGGCCTCAGATCCCTCTATGTGTGGGTATTGGCTCAGTAGGTGCTGCGGTGAGCGCTCTGATGGAAGCCTGCATCTTTGCTTCTCTTTAGTTCCAGCAGTACCGAGCACAGATCTAGGCACATAATGACCTCAAAAATGCCTGGGCTCAACTGCACTAAAACCATGCAGAGTCAAAGATTCACAGCAAATCAAAGTCCACGCCACTTTCATTAACAAACAAAAACTACAGTTTTAAATATTTGCCACAGGGTGTTCGGCTCTGATTTCAAGTTGAGTGTGCATTTTCCCCTTTTGTATCATACATATATCGCAACACTAAACAAAGAAGTAGATGCTTAATATCTGACAGTGGATGCAGAAAATATGCCTTCGTCCTGGACGAGTGCTTATTTACAAAACATCAGAGCCGGACAGACCAGCAAGCGTGTTTTGTCAGAAGAGGAAATCAAGGCTCAGCAGGCTTGCAGCCGCACTGTGCAGTGTCCACACAGGGCCAACATCTAGCTCTGCCAGGGCCTGGACTGGCCTCCCATGGAGGCTGCCCCAGTGGGTCTGATGGGCTCCTGGGTCCCTCGCATGAAGCAGCTCATGGTGTCTGCTGTGTGATTCGGTCAACAGACTACCTGAAGCTTTAAACGTAAGAGATGCATGCACGCACAGCACATCTGTAACCTGTTTTGCATTCCCTTTCCCATTGCTGGCTCTAAATTTAAACCGGAAAGTCTACGGAAAAATTAATAGGCCATGGGATTGCCAGAAAAGCACAGATCACGTCCCTCCCCCGAGTCTGGGAAGCTGTACAACCATAACACCAAAGAAATCCTCTGACTGTTCGTGTTTTCTCATGAGCTGGTTGAGATTTGGACACATCTTGTCTTCATTTGAGACGAAAGGAAAATGTGCAGACTGGAGCAGTTTGAGCAGCCCATCTGCTGTGGGGCTGCGAGAAGCTGCCCTAGAGCTGGGATTGGGAAACAGAGCAGGGAGCGTGGGTGTCAGGCCACACAGAGCCGGGAACCCTGCCAGGTCCCCGTTCCACTAAAATCTGATAGACCCTCTGGGTCATCACTTCCTCCCCACCCTGTAGGCACAATGGGAAAGCTGTTTAGTCGTGTGTGTGTCCCATTCGCATGTTCAGAAGTTAAAGTGAGCTTTGTTCTTGGCTGTTTGTTTTGGAAATCCTGAAGGTGCACCGTGACCCACAGCAAGTATGCTTGGTATTCCACAGCAATCTCAGGAGAAGCCGCTGGGCCAAGCAGTGCCGACTGGCAGGCAGAGCTCACACTTGAGCTGTGGCTCCTGTCCCAGCCCCACTGCAGGCAAGTCCTGGAGGCTTTGGTGACCTTGAAAATCTGTCACTTGCCCTCCCTGTTGAAATGATTTTTGGTTCCTTCATTCTTGCTCGAACTATTTCATGTTGAACGGAAGAAAAAGAGTCCATCAAATTTTAAACCCCTTATGGAGAGGTGTATGTCTAGCATGACAAATGAAGGGTAGGTGTCCCCTACCTTTTAAACGTTTGCCAGTTAGCTAAGCCACCGACAGCCACAAAAAACGGGGGCAGTGGTATGTGTGCTGAGCCAGGGAGCCTAACCTCTGTAAGAGAATGAGTGTATGGGGCTCCTGAAACCGCTTCCAAGTTTGTGTGTTTCCGGGCCCACACTCGGGCTACCCCATCACAGGATTACCGTGCTGTTTAACGCACTGTTGAAACTGGCTCCAGCCTTCCCTTCTCCAGGGGGCTCTGCCTTCCTGGTGGGATTGTTGGTGAGGTCTAGGCTGACAGACCTCGAGCCAAGACACTCAGTGTAATAGCCAAAACATCTGATAAGGAGAAGGAGAAAGATGGCAGGAAAGAAGACACACGGGGGAAAGAAGACAAAAATAAAAAAGGGAGGAGAGGAGGCGAGAGGAGAGTAAGAGCAGACGAGGGGGCCCTTCAGATGCCAGTGCTGCTGCCTTGGAAGTCTCAACTTCCTTATCTTCTATCCCATCTCCACCCTCACAAGCGCAGATTTCCTCCAATTCAAAGGTCCTGAGGGGAGCTCTTTAGTGAAAGCCGCTGCTTCCTTCCTAAAGCATAGCTATTGTCTTAGAATACTTCTAAACCCTCCTTCGTCTGCACCGTTGAAAACCACATTTTAACATGATTTTGTGCAATTAGAACTTCTTGCATGAGCCAAAAATGAATTAAGAGAGCAAACTCTACACAAAGATTTTCTTTTTAACAGCATAGGTGAGGGGGTTAGAGGTTATAAGTGAAAAAGCTTCACAGATTATCTATATTTCTTGTGATTACGATAATAGGACTTGACAGTATTTGTAAACCATTAAAATGAAAGAGAATTTTGCTTGATAAGTGTATTATCAACCTGCAAGATTTTTCTATGGACTGTATTAATATATCGTTTTTCATTTATAAGAGTACCATTTGGGATTTTCTCCACTATTATAAAAATAAAAAGTTACCTAGATAAAATATAGAGTATTTTGCCACTGAAAAATTGATTTTGTCTAGAGATATTTAAAAGGAGACCCATGTTTTCTTTGCTAACTAAGTATTTGGTGGGTTAGGTACAAGGTGGCTTTTGTCCTTCTTGGCTATAAGATCAAATAAATTCTCTAGATTTTTTTGAGGCAATAAATGCTGATTCTGTTTTCCTAGTCCTCTGCCTGAGCCCCCGTACCTTATCTTTTGCTTGCTCTCTCTGGGACAAGAGGAAGAGGTTCCATCAATTCACAGCAGGCCCCAGACAGTGTTTAATGGACTCCAGGGTGGCCTCCCAGCCAGTCTCTTCCCCAGAGGGAGTAGCCCTACCATTGGCTGGGGATGGTCCAGAGAAGGTAGAGAAAGTTCAGGAGAATTTAAAGTAAAAATGTAGCAATGATCATGTGGAATATGCCAAGGACATATTGTATAAAGCAACAACCAGCGGACACTGGAAAACACCATGAGAATTATTTTGGGAGAAAGTATGGGAACGGTGGGCAACAGTTTACAGAGTGGGCACCATGTCATGAACTCTAGGCCCCTATGACAAGAACCATTTCAAAGGTGAGATGACTTGGAGGAGCAAGCTGAATGCAAGTTTCAGAGTCAGAAATAAGGGTGGGCTTGAGCCTCACCCTGATAGGGGAGGCCCCGCAAGCTTTCATATGTCGCCATTTCTTTACCCCCAAAATATTGAACACAATGCCTGTGCTCTAGCTTCCTCATGAACACATAAGGAAGTGAGTGCTAAGGTTGGCCCCTGGGAGATGCCCAGCAATGGTAACGCCCAGCCTTTGGGGCAGACAACAGATTGGAAGAGGTGAGTCTCCTCTGTAAAAGAACCACACCAGCTATAGTTAGAGGGAAAAAAGACAAGAAAAGTGAACATGCAGAATGTGGTGGTGAACAATGTCTGAAACAGAGCAGCATGTTGCCAGATACCAGAGAGGTAGCCACAAAGATCCAGGGCCTATGGACCACTGTGGAACAAAGCAGAAACTCACGTCAAGAATTTCCTTGTTGGCTTTCGGAGACGTTGCTTCTCTCAGTTCCTTAATAGCCACAGGAATCTTAACTTTCTCGCCTTCTGGGATCCAGAGTCCCTGTAACAAAGATAGAGAAAGTATTACTGAGACCCACGCCGATCTGTGGCTGGGTGGATTTCATCAGTGATACTCCCAAAGGCAAGGGACAATTGAGTCACAGCTCCACACTCCAAGGCCAAATGTGGGGGGTCGTGATGTCTCAGCAGCTCTTTAGCTGTCAGGCTTCACAGATCAAAATAACTATTTAGATTTCTTAAAAACCTCTAAGCTTGTGCCAATTATAAACTCAGCGTGGACCATTTCATCCAGAATTCTAAGATGGTGGGTGGGTTTAGGCTGACTTGAAATCAGACTATGCAAAAAGAATCTAGAAAAAAACAAATTAAGAGGAGCCTACTGGACCAGGGTCTTTATTCTAATGCTTTAACATTGTGACAGGCAACCCTCATGCCACATGCTCTGTGCCATACCACCCACTGCAAAGTCAATGACATACTCCATAACATGCCTTTGGTCTCACAGGACCACTAATCTGTCACTGTGGTTAAAAAATATGTCCTCTCAGTAACTTGGGAAAAACATTGGGATTTCCCAAACCCTCAGCAAGACAGAGAGTAGATGATAATGATGATAATGAAAATAAGTTGCTCACTGAGGACTCTTGAGGGGCTTGGTGGGTCCAGCCCTGGAGGCCGTGGTGCCATCATGTCCCCAGCCCTGAAGGCCGCAGGGCCATCATGTCCCCAGCTATGGAAGCTGCAGTGCCGGCCTGTCCCCAGCCTGGAGGCCATGATGCCAGCATGTCCCCAGCCCTGAAGGCCATGGTGCCAGCATGTCCCCGGCCCTGAAGGCTGTGGTGCTGGCCTGTCTCCAGCCCTAGAGGTCATGGTGCTGGCCTGTCCCCAGGGATCTCACCTTATACACAGTGCCAAATGCTCCTGAACCCAGCACCTTGAGCTTTTTGAATTCGGTTTCCTTTAAGATCCTCAGGAGAGCTTGGTTGGGAGCTTCTCCACTGGGTGTAAGTGGTTCAACAAGCTACAGGAGACAAGGAAGTAGAGCCGAGATGTCCCTCAGCATCATCATGCTAGTTCAGAAGCATAAGTGCACACACTCTCTAAGGAACTTGATGAAAGTCAGTAGAAGCAGAGACTGTCTGACACAGGTGTTCTTGAGCGGAACAGATACATTTCAAAAAATGTTACTTTTAATTTCTATTTTCATGCCAACTCGCTGGATTGAACACCTCTGTGAGGACAGTTTTTGCATGGTGCTCATTTGGGGGCCTGTCAGGGCCCATCGTACACAGCATCCTTATGCTGTGTGCTGCTGGGCCTCTCCTTCCAGAGTGGCTTCCAACACAGGGCTGGATGCAGATGCCAGCTGGTAATAGCCATTGCACACAGAGCTCAGAAAGGAACGGCCACTGTGTGGACAAAGCCACATTGTCTTATCTCAGCCATAGCACCTCCATGGGAGCTCAACGGCTAGCATCTCCCTCTACACACACACATGGGCATTCTACAGAGCTCTGGGAACATTTTGCAGAACTTAATCTAGGAGCATTTCCACATCAGTTGTAACATAACCGGTTGAGTGCAACCGGACACTCAGAGAGTCTTTCTGGTTTTTCCATCATAACAATACAACTATGCATCTAATATACAATACTGCAAACTGCAAGTTCTCAAAGAACGCCCCTAGTTCCTACCCAAGTAGTAAGGGCTCCTGAGGGTGCCGGCGGCAAGAGGCACCCAGGGCCCGACAGCTCACCTCTCTCTCCTGCAGCAGTCTGCGCAGGGTGCGCTTCCGGACGATGTGGCGCCTTCGCATGAAGAGGCCGACCCCGAGGGCCACCACCACCAGCAAGAGGAGGCCCCCCACGATCCCAGTGGCAATGGATGGGATCTTGGGCCTGGAGGCAGGTGGAGAGACAGGGAAGGGGAGGTTTGTCCAGAGATTTTATGACACTGGCATTTTACACATTTCTTGCAAGTTTTGGTACATGGCCATCCTTTAAAATCATTTCGGAAAGTGGGAACCTGAGTGGCGTTTAAAGAAAGCCATTCAAGACTTCTAGGGTAATGTTTCCAGCTTCTAGGGTGCCCTGCTCCATTCCCCTGCACCCTCTTCTTCACCTTTTCTAAGTTGAGCTCTTATTTGGATCTTTCCATATGATTAGATTTCAATGATTAATTAAGTAAATAAGTAATTCAAAAAAATAATTCAGACATCAATGATGCTTTTTATATGGACTTGTATTTTGTTTATTCCAAGAACATTTGCACACACTTGAAGAACCGTAGTCCATGCACACGAGCCAGGCACTGTCTCCTGGCCAGGCTGGGTGAGGGGACCTTTTGGCAACATTGAGATTCCTCTGGAAGTCCTTCGCTCTTGAGACTGGATGTGCATCTGTGTTAAATGCTCTATGAATGGGCTCGAAGGAGACTGTAAAATGTTGGGACTTAGATATAAGAAGCATCATGTGATGAGTGAAGTCATCATTCGCTCTCAGACCACAAGGCATATTCACTCTTCCCTCCGGCGGAGGTCAGGTCTAGTTTGAGAGAGAGAAGAAACTCAGAAGTCAGGTGTTCCCGCTCACTGAGGAAAGGACCCTCTGAATTCAGAATTCTGAAACTTTCTTCAGAAAACTATTATTCTTGAGTATCTATCTCGTTTGAGCTGCTGGCAACTGGATTTATATTTCCAGGTAGAGATGTTACTTAATATCAAAGATGAATTAGCAGTGTCATTTGCATATTAAAAAGATGCCAAAGTCCTTAAAATTTCTCTTGAGTGGGCCAAATTTTCTTCATGAAAGTGAAAGTTTACAACACTTTCTTTTAGAGGTGCCAAATTCATCTGTGTTATACCAAATCCCCAATCCTTGCAGTTTAAATCAGTAAGCGTTTACTACTTTGAGGGAATACTGGAAGACTTAAGGGATAATTTGTTACAGAGTATGTGTCCACTGGGTGCTGCAGTAGTGAGGTTCAGTGAATGAGAAGAAAAAAGAAGTAAATATAACAAAGAATGGCCAGGTTTCAAAGTGGATATTGAATGGAAAACCTCATTATAAGATTACTGAGCTTGTAGGGCGAAGACAGGAAAACTTTTGCTGTTTGTGTGTTTCGTAGGCTCAGTGACAAGGTGGGGATTAACGGAGACCCCGTCGCTGAGAAACTGCCTTATTTTTCATTACTGCATCATCTGATGGCAGGATGGATCAGCACTCTCAATTCTGGAGCAGAGGAATATGTTAGAGTTGAAGATGTGTTGATGAGGGAGGGATTTTGCAGATGTCACCACAAATGGCCAAGGGGCTAGAAGTGTGGCTCACACTTGGAGACATCAGAAATGGCCAATAGGTATTGTGTGTGTCATTCCTGGTTCCTGGCTAGACACCATTGATTAGCAATACCACTGTTTCCTGATAAGTCTTACAGAAACTGACAGTTGTGCTTTCCTCAGAGCAGTATTTCAAGCCATAATGGCAAATCGATTGGAATTTACATGCTGAAGGAAGCCCACCTACCTTTGCTGGGCAATGTGTTCAGAAAAGGAAGCAAGGAGCGGTATGCCCCACCAGTGGGAGCTTTGTCATTGAACAGAAAGTCTACAAACACAGGTTTGTGATGCGGCCACCCGTGTGAGTGGGAAAAAAGAAGAGAAAGATGCAGCAAAACCAGGCAACCAAACAAGCCCAGGACAGGTTAGGCGTGAGGAGAGGCAGCGGCACTGAGCACCAGCTCCTTAGGGAGAGCCTCTGCCTGTGCGCCCATGGGCCTCTGCCAGGGAGCCAAGTCTGCATGGAGGAGGGTGGAGCCAGTGGGGTAGTCTCTGCCGGGACCTCGTGCTGGACCTACGGTGGCCCAGAGATGCAGAAACCTGACAAGGATAGAGGACGGTCAGAAGTGCACAGAAGCATTCTTTCTACCCACTGCACTCTGACTGGTTTTGACAGGGTCCATAAGACACAACACTGTGAATAACTTACCCATTTGTTGGGTCCATAAGACACAACCTTGTGAATAACTTACCCACAGCCTTCGAGACCTGGCCCAGCACATCTGCAGGGATTGAAAGAAAAATACACATTTTTCTCATTCTACTTCTGTGATTTTCTTTCCTGGAGATTTTAACATTAAATCATAAGGCACGTGTGTTAAACTACTCTTGAATCCCTAAAATCACAATGTCTCGATGTTGGGAGGGGCTTAATAATCTACTTATCATGCATTTATCCATTTGTTCACTCTGCAAATATCCTTGAGTGTCTACTCTGTGACAGGGGTTATTCTAGCACTGAACAAGCAGCCAGTTCATCACGGAAGAGTTTTCACCCACTGCTTTTGGTGTAGGGGTAGTTATCTTGCAGCTGGCTCTAGAATGTCAGTGGGGACAGAGACAGCAAGCCAGGACCAGAAACGCACTGTGGACCTACACTGATTACAAAGGAGCTTGGCACTGTGGAGTCACCGCAAGTTACGACAAAGCCTGAGCTCTGGATAGTAAGCGGGCAGCGAGGGAACAAGGACAGGTGAGTCCTGAGGATGACAGCTAGGTTACTAGACAAGATGAGAGAGAAGGAATGATAAGTTAAGTTGTTGTCAATGGGGGTGGAAGGAAGGAGCTGGGTAGGAGACATGCTGGGACCTCGGCAGCACACATGAAGTAGTGGTGGGAAGGAAAGGGGCAAGGACGATGCGTGACAACATGCATACCAGTGGCAGGAGGTGGCCACAGTGATTACAGACCCAGAAAGTCAGGCCCGAGGGGCCTCCTCTGTTCCCACTTAACTGAAATGTCTACCACGCAGAGGGGACAGAACCCGATTTAAGTGTGACTCCAGAGCAGTGGGGTTCCTGTGCTAGCGGGACAGACCACCATCATTATTTTGATGGTAGTCGATGCTTTAAAAAGGCAGAGCAAGGCAGTTTTGAGGCTCCCATTTCATGGTTTGGAGAAAGATGAACAGCTGCACTTCCACATGTGAGGAGGATCCGGAGCACTTGTGGACACCGTCGCCTAAAGTCCTAAACACTTTCTGCCCCTGCTCCCCAGGTCTCAGTGAACAGCTTTGATCTCCACACTCCAATCTTCTTGGATCAGGGTCTGGGCTCTCTTTTCCTGATGTCAGACAGTGTTGTCTTACAAAGCCTTGGGGTTTCACGCATGGCCAACCACATGGCCTTCTTCGGATAGTGGCACACCCAGGGAGGCCTCATTACTTTGCCCTTCATTACCTCCCACGAACCCCAAAACAGTCCAGGATAAAAAGCCTTCTCTAATGATGACTGCTGATGGAATCAGACCTACCCCACTGGGGGTCTCTCCCTGCCATTGGGTGTAATGCAATGTGAATACTCGGCAGGCAGAGTGCAGCTAAGAGGAAGGTGTCTGTAAGCAACTTCCAGGCTATGTGACCTTTTAGTCATTGCAAAACAACACAAAAATCAGCCCCCATGCTAATCTTGGTGGTCCGGAGAGATCTGTAAAAATCTCTGGAAGTGGCCAAGGTGGCCTCACGGTTGTGCATGCCTGTCACCACACGCGGCATTGTGGAACACAGCCCTGGTGTGAGACGCTGTGTGCAGCAGACGTGCATCCTTGCCACACCAAGGTCTGCCCAGAGCATGTGGCTGAAAGCTTTGGCCATAGGGCCAAAACCTCTTAAGTCATTGGCTCAACTACAAACCTCTGTAATTCATTGCCTGAAAGTACTGAAGATTTTTTCAAACTATGAATTTGCAAGCCTGGAAACATTCTGTTCTCTTGCACCTTCCACTCACCCGTAGGTGCAGTTAGGATGACACAGGTGGCACACGTGGCTGGCATCTGCATACTTCCAGACCAGGGTACTGTTTTCTCCCATGATGCCTGCCGGGCAGGTCTTGACACAGTGAGGGCCATCGATGTAGTGGGCACACTGGATGCAGCTGTCCGGTCCCTACACCAAAGTGGAGACAAATACGGGTGCATGTCTCTTTCTTCTCCCTTTCTCTTTCAAAATGGAAGTAACTAAAATATTTAGTGTGGGGTAAAAGAAAGCTGAATAATAAGGAAGTTCTTAAAGTAGAAAACAAGTTCTTCTGTGACTGCACTTGCTCGAAGGGGACACTGTTAATTGCTTAGTAGAAAGTCTTCCTGACTTTGGATGGACATAACGTACATAAATAAACACAAGAGAAGCGATATGCCTACTGCATTTTGTGTAGTACACTATGGGCATCTTTCCTTGTAGGAACCATCTTGATTGGCCTGTGTGTAGACCCATGTCGTCACTGGTCATTTTTTTTTTTTTTTTTTGAGTTGGAGTCTCACTCTGTCGCCCAGACTGGAGTGCAGTGGCTGCTCCCGGCCACCGCAGCCTCGACCTGCAGGGCTCTGGCGATCCTGCCGCCTCAGCCTTCCAAGTAGCTGGAACTACAGGCGCGTGCTACCATGCCCGGCTAATTTTTTGATTTATTGTAGAGATGAGGTCTCGCTAAGTTGCCCAGGTGAGTCTTGAACCCATGGGCTCAGGCAATCCACTCACCTCAGCCTCCCAAAGCGCGGGATTACAGGCTGAGTCACCGAGCCCGCCTCTGGTAATTCTTTCTCGCACATTGCATTTGAAGTCAGAAGGAAGCTCTGAGGAAGGTAAATGCAAGAAAGCCCCTGCCTGTGCTTCCCTCAGTGACAAGAAGGTGGCACATCTCTGCAAAGTGGCGGCTGCTTCACAGACTGACTAACATGCCACATGTGATTCTGTTTTAAAACTTGGAATACCCTGGCAAAGCTCACATAAATGCAAGCATTGGCACCGTTTGGGCGGTGTGCCCCACACTCCAGAAGGGACTTAAGTAAAACAGGTAGGGAGAGAGTTTCCCCTTGGTAAAGTTCTCTAATGTCTTAGTTTTGTCCTCTCAAAGGCTGAGTGTGCCCAGATCCACACAAATAGACTAAGTCAATATCGCCAATTACTTTATTTTAACGATGGAAATTTAACCTAAAAAAATGTAGACCTAGAAGCCAACTGTTTACTTTGTAACTAAGCACATGGCAGACTTCAAACGTAAACACAATTGTGTCATCTTCTGCCTGATTAAGAGAACTTCTAAGAAAAGTTTTCAGTTAGTAGAGTTAGAAATGACTGTTGAGGATCCAATCCAGACAGAACTTTTTATATTAATCATGAAATAATGCTAAGAATTAACAACATTAGAACATTTTGGATGAGAGGGACCTGAATTTTCACTTATGTTCTTTACAGGATTGTTACTGAATACGTCGATATGAAACTGTAAACTTAAAAAAAAAGTTTGTTAGGAGTTTCTGTAAAAATTCCTCAACTCGGTTGGGTGCAGTGGCTCACGCCTGTAATCCCAGTACTTTGGGAAGCCGAGGCAAGAGGGTTGCCTGAGCCCAGGAGTTTGAGATCAGCCTGGGCAACATGGCAAGACTTCATCTCTACAATAATTCCAAAAATTAGCCTGGCGTGGTGACATGCGCTTATAGTCCCAGCTACTTGGAAGGCTGAGGCGGAAGGATAGCCTGAGCCCAGCAGGTCGAGGCTGCAGTACCCATGATCATGCCACCACACTCCAGCCTGGGGGACAAAGTAAGACTCCAACTAAAAAATACATATATATTAAAGCAATTAGAAATTAATGTTAAGTAAGAATTTAAGAGTATTTGATTAAAATGGTAAAGCAATAATGACAGATGTCAGAAATGGAAGAAAGTGACTGACAACAGTCAACTGTAAAATTGGGGATTTAATAAGTTTAGAGAAGTTGAATTTGGGAATTTAGTAAGTATAGATAAGGATGGGGGTGTTGGACAGGAAAGGTGAAGGGTCTTCCCAGGTGATAACTACACCCAAACACAGCTGCTTTGACACAGCCATCAGATCACACCTGTCTCCCCTCGAAGTGGTTTTGATGACTTTCTCTCTCAGCTACATGGTGACTTGGGTCATTGAGGTGGTATGCTTCTGTGAAGACTTTTCCCCATGAAGTGGGAGTGAATATCCTGAATGGCTCCTTACCCGTCCCGTGCAGGTGAGGTTCATGGCCTGGGGCAGACACTCCGGATGGCACTGTACGCATTCGGAATTCTCCACAAACTCCCGTAGCTCGCTGAAATGGGGAAGAAGAAAGCAGATCAGTGTTGTCCCCTGAAATGCTGCTTCCACACTTGGGTGGTTATGACTGTCCTCTCTGAGAAACTCAAAATAACTTTAGGTAAAGGTCAAAGGGTTGGGACTCATCAACTATCCTGTAATATAACAGACTGATTTTATTAATGGAACCCTTCTCTCTGAGCAAAAATGGAAGCTTCATTTATAACCAAGCCATTGTCCCTGCATTTTCGACATGCACCGTTTTTTTAGATTAGGCAATAAGCAAGCCAAAAGGTGAAAAAAGTAGTCCGTAAAAGGTGGCCCCTGCCTCTGCTACCAGGTTCATGGATGCTTAAATTAAGCTGGAGATAAACAATAACTACAGACTAAAGGTAGAAGAGGCAATAAAATCTGTTCAGTGGCTATTATGAAAACAGTAAGTATGAAACATAGGCGTGAAAAATTTTCATTGTGATATTTTCAACATTCCTCAAAGCGAACAGATCAACATTAAGCAAGGTGCTAGTGCTTGACTGAAAAGACAACGTTGGCCAAATAGGTAGCTCAGTCTGTCATCCCAGCACTTTGGGAGGCCTAGGCAAGTTGACTGCCTGACCCTGCAGGTTTGAGGCCAGCCCAGGCAACTTGGTGAGACCTCGTCTCAACAATAAATCAAAATTCAGCTGGGTGTGGTAGCATGCATCTGTGGTTCCCTTGGAAGGCTGAGGTGGAAGGATCGCTGGAGCCCAGCAGGTTGACGCTGGGGTGGCCATGAGCGTGCCACTGTTCTCCAGCCTGGGTGACGTAGTGAGACTCTGATTCAAAAAAAAAAAAGAAAAGAAAAGAAAAAAGAAAAGACAACAGTTGTGCTGGCTGTTAAAAGGGCTGGAATCTGCCTGGTAATTAACCACAGGTCTTTGCTCCAAGCAGTGAAAAAGGAGTGTTCACACTCAAAAGCATATGGCCTAGGTCCTCCCTTTCGGCCAGTGGCACTGACTAACTCCAGTCTGATGCCATGATGTGCTCTCTGTGCTTCTTCCTGGGCCACTGCCCCTGCTGAAGGGGCCGGTCTTGCGAAGAGAGCAGGGGCTGCCAGACAGCAGCTTTGTCCACACTAGCAGGAAGCGGCAGGGCACTCGGACAGAGGTGTCTTCTTGGGAGAGACTTGGAAGCTGAAAACGTGTGATGCATGTTTGCTTGTAGCAGTAAAGACTGCACGCACATTTCTTACTTGATGTTGCACTATCAATTTTGCAAATTATTCTGAGTCTATCAGCTAAAGGATTGCTACACAACTGAGCTTGGTCTTCTTAACCCGTTCCCGAATATTTCTGGGTCCAAGCTGTGGCCCACTCCCTGACAAGGAACCCGGAAGGAAGATTTCCTACATTCATCTCTAATTCCTGTGGCTCTTCTCTATCACATTTCCTTTCTCTTAGGTTTTTATAAAAAATTGCCTATACCTCTCTCCATTCTTCCATTTTACTTTTCTATTGTTTTTTCATCATTATTTGTAGTCATTCAAAGCCTTTCATCAATATCAAGATTCTCATAGTATACACAGACTACACTTTTTATAGAATGCAACTAAATTCAACAAACATTATATTAATTGTTTATTTCTTTGTCTATGGTTATGCTTAAAATTGTAACATCAAGCACTGTTCAATGTCCAGTGCGTGCTGGGGACACATAAACCAGAAAATCTAATGTGTACTAAATATATTTTGACACACCAGGGATAGTGGGCTGCAAAGAGAAGACCAAAGGGCCATGGTTTTGGCCACCTGAGCCACTTATGCTTGTCCTATTTGTCTTGAGAACTTTTTGTAGCTTAGAAAAGTGTAAGATACTTCCAGGAAAAGAGAGTCTCCAAATTATTGGATTCAATTAGGTAATAATTTAAAAAGTTTGCTTATTTTCTGTTATGATTACCAGGGTGTCAAATGCAAGCAATCAACTCCCCCTCACATAGACACACACACACACTCACAAAGGAAAAAGAAGAAAAGGAGGAGAAAATAAAACTGAAGAACTAACTGTAAAGCTATGAAAACCATCCCAAGTCTCCTCTTCGATCAAAACAAGAGATCAAAAAGTAAACTCCTACCCCTCCAGCACGTTGCACTTGTCCACGCACTCCTTGCCACGGCTCACATTACGGCAGGAGACACAGTCCCTGGGTTCTGGGCCCCAGCAGCCCTCTGACGAACACAAGGAATTGCAGACATGGCCCGTGGCCTCTGAGGAGACAGTGAGTCACAGAACTCAGTTATGCAAGGGACTCAAGGGACCAGGGGAGACACTGCCTTTCTGGGAGGGACCATGAGCTCTGCTCTTGAGCTAAACAGACACATTGGATACCCCTGAAAGGAGGACACCGGCGGAGTTTCCCAGAAGCCAACTGCAGGTCTCTTCCTCCCTGCACCCTGGACCGGACCCGGCGGTATTCTGATGACAAACGCCACAGCTGGTGGAACCATGGTGCAGATTGTGGGTACCCGCGAAGTGCCAGGCACTGTGCCAAGAGCTTCAACACAGAATCTCATTGGATTCTTTCAACAGTGCTGTAGTGTGAGAATTGCTACTATCTTCACGTCATGGGTGAGGAATCCCAGCCTAGAGAGAGTTAGTGAATGGACGGAGCTCTCACAGCCAGGGGAGGGCCAGACCAGCATGTGAACTCAGATCTGCTCTGCCAGTGGCCAGGAATGAAAAACGCAGTTTACTCATTGGAGATCGGCCCTTCAATGTCTAAATGAAAATAAGTGACCCACTGGATCCATCTCCATAAGCAAAACAGGAAGCCAGTACTCACTGCAGTTGTCTTCACCTCTGTTGTTTATAATTTTGGTTTTCTGACTGGAGGTCCCAAATAGTTTTTTCCAGTTTATTGTATTTGCATAGCACAAGTTTTTGTTTCCTGAAATGATCACATCTCCATCACTGATCTCCTTGAGGGAGCGCAAACCCAAGGATGTTATGTTCAGGCCAACAACAGCAAGAGAAAATTGACCACTAAATTGGAGAGAAGAAAAACAACATAGAAAGTTATGAATATAACAATCTATCACTAAAAACCTTATTTTTCTTTTCTAGACCACTTTTATTTACTAGAAATTGCCTTCCAGTGAGTATAAGTCAAGTTGTGGAAGGTATGCATCGCAACTTTTGAAAAATCACAAGTTTTTTGTTTTGTTTTGTTTCAAGCTCCTCCAGGAAAAAACCAATTCCTTGTTCAGTTAACCTCAGTGGCAGACTGGGAGGCTGAAGAAATGTCACTATTTTATGTTCTTCATTTTCATTTTGCCTGGAACTGGAAGACAGGTCTAAGTTCTTAAGCATCCAAATACATTTTCAAAGTTGCAAGTTCTATCTGTCCATCTGTCCACCCACCTATCCATCTATCTGTTCATACATTCATTGGACAAGCATTTGTGCCAGATTCTATACAGGATAAATATATGTTTCCTACACGAAAGGACCTTTGTCTAGTAGTGGTCACATGGCCATCTAAGCAGATCATTTTAACCTCATGTGATGAGCACAGCAAGTGTGGGCTCCACAGAAGAAGAGGTCTGGGGTGGGACAATGGGGAAGGGGTGGCTTCCCCAGGAGGTGATATCCAGGATGGTAAAGCCCCAGAGCAGGAGTTCTTCTTCCCTGCCCAACATGACACCAGGACTCCACAAGGTGGTCTATACGTGTTCATTGGGTACCTGGAAGGAAGCCCCTCAGCCTGAAGGGAGGGAAGTCCCAAGCCACCTGGAGGAGCAGGAGGACACATGTGGGTGTGAGGACCCCGAGCCACTGTGAGATCCTAACTGTGCAGGCGGAGGGGGCTGGGAGCTGGGTCTGGGGAGGGTGGACACGATCAGAGTACAGGAGACCTTGAACACTTGTGGAGGAGCTTACGCTGCTGTTTGCAACTGAGGGAGAACCAAAGGAAAGATGTCTGCGTGGGTAGAAAGCTCATCTGACACCAGGCTGGGACCCAGTCAGTTGAGACAGGGCGGAATGAAGAGACTGATCATCAAGGCATGAGATGGCAAAGCATTAAGGTGTCGTCTAGAGGCTCTTGCTCTCCCCGTGTCTCTTCTTCTCATCTTTTCTCCCTTCCTGCCTCTCTCCCCCAGTAGTGAGAGGCCCTATGTAGAAGCCTTGCAACCATTACCACCATGAATTCTCCACCATAGGAACCCAGGAAAGCTGAGACTCCAGAGCAATGTGGGGGTCTTCCTTGCAGGGCAGGCTTGGGGTTTCGGTGAGTCATTCCCTGGAATCAGTGCCCACCCTGCCTTGGAGGGAGATGCTGTTTCTGAACTTCATATTAAATGTGAAAAGTATAGAACCCTTATCTTGTATAAATCCTTAAATCAAAGTGATACATACTGATCATCTAAGACAAGTGCTCTAAATCTCTTGCTTCCGTATGAGCCTTGGATAAAGAAATATTCCAGAGAATTCAGAACAAAAAGTCTTTCTGGGAAGCAATGGTAGCTGCATGTTTAGCATTAGAAACACATAGCCAAGAACGCTTATGAAAAGAAGTGTATATTTCATGTACTCTGATTTACTTTAATATTGCACAATATTAAGGTATTATACAGTCCTTTTAGGAACCAATTAGGCGAAACAGTCCTAATAACCAGACTGTTTCCTAGGCAAATTTGACTAAGAGATTCCCAAACACATCTTCCTCAATGATGACTCTTAGAATATTAAAGACACTTGTGTGTGTGTGTGTGTGTGTGTGTGTGTGTTTATTTCATGGTTGGGGTTGGAAAAGTAGAAATCCTGGAAAAAAAATTTAGAGCTAAAAAGTCTCTCAGGTTTATCTGACATGATGTGCACAACCTCAACTGCATTGTGAGAAAACATCAGCCTGACACAGAAGGTTAGATAATCTACAAAATTCCTGACCCATCTTTTCCTAAGTGTCAAGGCCATGTAAGATAAGGAAAGACACAGGAACTGATACAGGCTGAAGGGGACTTAACAACTAACAACTAAGTGCAGTATGCAATCCCGGAGTGAACACGGAAGCTGAATAAATGCACTCATGGAAGAACTGGTGAATTCCTAGAAAAGTCTGTCATTCCGTCAACAACCTTGTACGTGGTAATTTCTTCTTGATTATGTACCTGCTCATGTGAGATGTTAGCATTCGGGGAAGGCAGGTGAAGGATGCCTGGGAGCTCTCTGTACTAACTTTGGAATTCCCCTGTAAGTCTAATTCCAAACTAACACAGCAAAAAACAGTCCACTCGGCTTTGATGTGGCCAACTTACTGTTGCTTGGTCCTGCCACGTATGATTTCCAGGTTCTCAAAAGCATGGAGGTCAGTCCTGTTTTCAGGCCAAGCCTGAATCAGCAGAAACCCTGTAAGGCAGAAATATGACTCAGACACATACTGCTTGGACACTTCTGCTTCCACGTCCACCCCGGGGTCCCATATTGCACTTAGTTGTTAAGTCTTCTCAGTCCCCTTCAACCTGTATCAGTTCCTGTGTCTTTCCTTGTCTTTCATGGCTTTGGCACTTAGGAAAAGATGGGTCAGGTAGTTTGTAGACTACCTAACCTTCTGTGTGAGGCTGATGCTTTCTCACAGCACAGTTGAGGTTATGCACATCGTGTCAGATTAACCTGAGAGACTTCCTGGCACTCATTTCCCGCCCCCCCCGGATTTCCACTTTGCCAACTCCAACAGTGAAATAAACACACAGGCACACAACCTTGTAATTTAGGTCTAATTGTTCCCTTTTTGGAGATGAAGAAAGAGGTATTCAGATAGCAGTCAGGGGCCCAAGGCCTGCAAGCATTGTGACAGGGCTTTACTTAGGGGTCTCCTTCAGAAGGCCAGAGAGTCAGGCTGTCCCTCGCCGTTTCACCCTTTCTCTCCCCCTCCACCTGACAGAGTTATGGGCCATCAAAACAGTGGTGCAAGCTGGGGCCAAGAAGGTGTGAGGCACCTTTGATTCATGAATGACCTGGACCTTGGCTTAATGTGTTCCTCTCTGCATGCAGGGGAAACTGCGTTTTAGAGAAGGAGCAAAGGATTGATCACTAATGGCAGAATTTCAGATTGCATGCTTTTATGCCATGGGAGAAGAAAACCAGTCTCCTAGTTCTCCTCTAAAGCACCGATTTCCCAGTATGTTCACATGCTATGCCGGCACAAACCTGTTATTTCCTTGACAGTTTTTAGAATATCCAGCTCCTTTGGATTTAGAGGAGGCGTACGTGTGAAAGAGTCACTGAAACGAACAACAGGAGGATTATCGATCACTACTCTCGACCGGTTAAAAAGGTAGATTTTGTTTTTCTCTGTACAAATAAGTAGACCTGCTACTTACCCCTTAAATGCCACCGGCAGGATGTGGAGATCACCGCTGATGGAGGTGCAATTTTTGAAGTGTTTAATATTTGTAGCATTTATGGAGAGAGTGTCTTTAAACTCACCAATTCCTATTCCGTTACAAACTGTCAAGATTAGAGAGACGTTTATTCCATTCACATTTGTTGAATTTAAAACAGCTAGGGTTTCACAGGCAGAGGGGTGTGGGAAGGGACTTCCAGCCACAAGAACAAGCATTGCCACGACCCAACAAGCACGGATGGAGGGACGGCGGGGACCAGGCCCTGTGGCAGGCTTTAGGGTTCCAAGGGCGAGGGCGATGGCTGCTGCCCCTGTGGCTGTCACAGGCCTTGCACTCTCCTTCTCATTACTTTCCCCTGGGGCTGTGGTGTGATGGCTGCTTGCAGCTCCTGCCTCCTGGCTGCTCCCCAAGGCAGCGTGCCGCCCTGCTGCAGGGCTGTCTGCACACGCTCTCATCAGAGAACCCCTGACCCAGCCTTCAGCACCTTCCCACTGCTCTGACCTGGCTTTGCAGCTTTATCTTCTATTTTACAGAAACAAAGACATAGTTTTTGTTTGTTTGTTTATTTAATTAGAAGTAGTAAGATGTGTTCATTGGGAGGTGGCATGAGAACCCAGCTTCACAATCGGAGAATAAGCCTTGTCCACACGTTAGGCAGGCTGCCTACCTTTGCGACAAGGCCCCTCACACTTCTTACACTTGCGGACTCCGTCCTCTTCTACCTCGTAGCTGTCGGAGCCGCAGGCACGGACACAGGAGCCGTGATCTGTCACCACATAGTTACCTGAGGAAGAGACGGTGAAAGGAAGGTGATGAGGGAGCTCCAGGTGCTCTGAGCCTCACACGAAGGTATCACATCTTCCTCTCAAGGGGCTGATGAGAAGGTCCACAATGTTGTGGTTATATTTAACTTGAGGATGAAGAACAAAAGGTGGCAAATAGAAAAGGAACACTGCAGGCTGCACTGTGGAGAAATATTTCATCACAGGTAGGAAATGGAGGCGTGAGGGAGGAAACACCATGCGTGGTCGCTGAAGCACCTCTTTGAAGCTCATTTTTTTTCCTTGTAGGATCTATCTTCAGGACTTACGGCTGAAGCTTGGATAGTCACTAAAAATATGTGAACCTCAACAAAGCCCTCTCTCCACAGAGGCTGCCTCAAGGCTGCATTTCATGGTCACAGATGCCTATGGCTCTGCCCTCCGCAGCTCTTCCCAGGCAGTCACACTGTGCTGGGTGTGGCAGGACCAGCTGGCTCTCCAGTCAGCCATCTTGACCTCTTCTCTACCTCCCCTGGCCCTCAAGGTCACGCATTTGTGCTCACACTAGCTTCTAGATTACTCTTAGGAGCTGTGTGCTCCCAGTTTGAGTTCCCCCAAGTAGGTCCTCGGTCCTATGTACTGGGCCTTGGTCAATTTTCTTCTGGGAATTGCTCTAAGTGTTCTGCCATGAATATTAAAGGTCCGTTAAGCTCTCTCTCAAAATTCTTATCTGTGTCATATGGTGGCAAATTTTTATTTATCTTGGTTTTCCATCTACCAAACAATGGCTTATTATTCTATTTGTGTATCATGTTTTCAGTACAGAGCTTAAAATTTTTCACGTACATAAATCCAGCAGGGTAAAATCTCCCCCTCATAATTGCTCTCTTAATGTTTTTCCCGGTGCATCTCCCTGACTAGAAACCAAGATTGACTTGTAAAGCTCTTTAGTTAGAATAAATTTACTTTCTCTATTAGGAGGTACTTTATGTCACCCTATCCCCGAATCCTGTAGCCACCAGTAGAATGTAGACACAAACAAACAAAACCGTAACCCAAAAAACTAAAACAAAACCAAGACAAAAACAAAGCCTCTGCAATATTCCCAAGAGGCATGACTGTCACTAGAATTCTAACTACTCAGAAAGGCCAGTCTTCAGAGCCACAGGTGCTTTCCTGTCACGTAGCCTGGCCATCAAGAACCGCAACCCCTGTGGCCTGAGGCAGCCACAGCCTCCCAGCTCAGCCGTGCTCAGGCCCCTCCCCTCTGTGCTTGGATGGATGCAAGGTCACCTGCCCCACGTGAGGCAAACACACCAACCCAAGGACAACCCGTGACCAGGACGCAAGCACTCCCTCTGGAGATGGAAAAACTCCAGGATGCCTGACAAGTCAGAGAGCTCCCCAGGCAGAAAATTCCCCAGGCAAGAACTCACGGGGACACTTCTTCACACAGGTGGCGCCAAAGCTGTATTTGCCCTTGGGGTTGACGTCCATCTGGTACGTGGTAGGGTTGTAGAGCATCAGTGGTGGGCAGGTGTCCTTGCAGGTGGCCTCATCCCGGAACCTGCGGCAGACCTGTCACAGGAGGAGGGACAGAACATGCCAGTTAGGCGAGGCGAGGGAACACGGGGCCCCAGATAGAGGTGCCGCCGCACGGCTTGATGCCTTTCAGAAAGCTCAGGTTCTGGTTTTCAAGGCACAGACGTTCAGTTAGAATATGCCAAAGTCTAGCAGAGCACTTTCAGCAGAGTCAGAAAGATCTCTCTCTTAAAAGTGTATTTTCTTTGTCTTAAACTTACTGTCCAGGGATCATACTTGATGAATTACAATCAGAGAAAATACATCTCTTCATTAATGTACAAATGATGAAGGCGTTCACACATTTATAGTGATATCTGTGAAGCAAAATTATTTTTAAGCTCAGTTTTTGTTGGATTTCCTTTATCGAGAACAATAGAGGATACGGTTTAGAATTCATTGGCAATGGCAGAAGACCTTGCCTAGGGAGTATGCTGTGTAAAGGGGCCAGACCCAGGACACTGCGGATCAATCCCGCTCACAGTCTTTTCCCAGGAATAATACATTAGAATCAGCCTAGGACAACAAAGTCTAAATCCCTGGGGCTTTGGAAGCGTCCTTTACCTGAAAACGATGTTCTAGGTTCCACCTCACAGAGGGCCTCGTTTTCGGGAGCCGGAGAGGGCCTTGCTACACTCAGTGCCCACTCTGGGAATCACATCCCCCAGTCCTACTGTCTCAGGGACTCCCGACCTATCCCGCATCTGCCCCTCCATGCCCACAGCCCATGGGGGCAGCACGGCTGTTGTTGGTACTGCTGCAGTAACTGGGCGAGAGCAAGCACTTCCGGACCCCTCGGAGCCCAGGTGCCGCTCCTGAGGCATCTGAGCAGTGCTAGAGAGCGCACAGGAGGCCCCAGTGCAGCCCTAGCCAAGTGTACCATGCAAGGCTTGTGTGGTTCTGGACGGATCTCTTGGGGGACCTTGTGGTGTCAACTATCTAGGCCCATAATAGAATCACTGGAACAACAAGTGGTGTGCTGCTGCTGGCAACTGTAAACACTCGTGACAAACGCACATGGAGTGCTCATCCTGCGCCCAGACCCTTGCGACAGACACCATACCACCTTGCCTCACTTAAACCCCTTCACAGGTCAGGACTTTGGTATCACCACCAACAGGTGAGAAAACCGAAGCACGGGGAGGTCATACAACTTGCTTAGGACCTCATAGTGGTGCAGGCAGGATAATACAAGGTGCTCTGTCACCAGGCAAAGGGCAACGTGCCAGTCTGCTACTACAAATGTCAATTACCATGTTGCCCCTGACAGGAGGCCCTGACGGCCGCTGGGGTGGCGGAGCCCACTGCAGGGAGGCTACTGTGAGATGCATCTTACCAGGCAGTCACTCTCCCGGGGCCCTGTGCAGCCTGCAGCGCACTGGTTGTGGCAGCAATCGCTGGGAGACTTGCCGCGGCAGCGCCCTGAGCACTGCTGGGCACAGATGATTTTGGTTACTGAAAGAGAGCAAAATCTCTGTGAGTGGAAGTTTGAGGTCTGGGTCCCTTCCCAGGGACGGAATAGAACACTTGCAAACAGTGAAGGCACACTCACTTCAAATTAAATCACATTCAGATCCAAAGCATGGACCTTTCTGATTGCACCATTTTGCCCAGTGTATTTTTAATCACTTAAGGGAACTAATCAGATCAAGGCTAGACTTATAAACTTGCTAAATAATTAGGCACTGGTTAGAGCTGAGTTTTGGGACGATATGGAAAGCACATGCAAAAATAACAACAGCATCTGCCAGGACTTAGTGTTTAGGACACAACCAGCCGCAATTACACTTAAAGACGCATGGTCAGTTTTTAAGCTGATATGTCCCCAGAGTCCTCGGTCACTGAGAGGCTGAGCCAGATAACCATGCTCAGGCAGACCCTTTCAGTTCTAAAGTGGAGTTCACACAGACAAACCCTCCTGAGAAATGGTCATCCTTCTGTGAAGGTGGGCAGTAAAGAAACGGCAGAAAGGAGAGGTGAAACAAGAAACCTGGTGGCCTGGGTCAACCACATGCAGTGAGGTGTGCAAGACTGTCATGTGAGTACTGATACCTGGCCCTAGAATCTGAAGGCTTCTGGGAGTCTTCAAAGGTGAGACAAACCCAATTACCCAGGTGAAGGCGGGGTGTGGGGTGCTCACACATGGATCTGAGGCTGTTCACTAACTTACGCTTCTGGCAGTTCTCCTCTCCTGCGCCCCAGCAGCTCCCGTTGGGACAGCTTGGATCACACTTTTGGCCTAAAATGTAAAATGGTTAAACTTTTATCACAGCGATAGGGAACAAAGGATGAGAAACTGATAGCACCTTTCTTGAGGCCTTGGGCTCAGTAACATTCTATACATGAGGAGTCGCTGTCTTATTTCTCCTTCTCTACTTGTATGGTTGGATGGTTTGTAGAATGACTTGAAAGCCCTCCAGTGAGAAAAGAAGATGAGTCATATACTGTTTGTATTTACAGTTCAGCTGTGGAAACTGAGGCAGAGAGTAATCATTGCCATAAATCCCATAAACAGGGATTTAAAGGAACTCTGGGTTCCATGACTACTGTTAGCTTAGGCTTGGAGAGTTCTCCAGCTTCACATAGCCCGGTGTCAAGGTGTCTAATCTGGCTGAGCCTTCAGGACAGACCCAGTACATCCTTGGTGTGTCCAGTCTTGAGTGACTGTGGGTTCCAGTCACCCTGGGGCTGTTAAATCATAACCTGTAAATAAAACCTCCTAGACTCCAAAACAGAGAGGCATAGCACGCTGCACCAAAGGTGAAAATGTTAATAGTGTGTATCACTTTGTTGATTATGTAAAACCTTGCTATCTATTTATAAGCTACCAGTCTGGAAATATTTGCAACTGGTCAATTACAAACTACCCCTATAAAGGTTTTCATTCTCATTAGTCATGTTTTCTTTTCATCAGCATTGAGAAATCTGCAGATCAAAGTGTTATATCTGTGTGGAACAAACAGGTTCACCACCAAATTTATTAAAAAGAGGGCAGTCATGCAGATAAGTTTTATTGTGACCTGTAGAAGTTAACATGTCCCAAAGTCTCCTGCAGTCAGGAAGATTTTAGTCTGTGGGAGAGTTTTAGACTTCAAAGGGAAGACCTGATGATTTCCCAAGTGACCATTAAACCAGGATACCCCTCTAATGTGACTGACAATTGTTACAGTCACCACCAGAAGTGAGGAGCATGAATGCAATGCTGTGCTTGTTAGAGTCATGGGAGACAGTGAAGCCAAACATCAAATGAACAGTGTGGGATGAACCTGAGAAGAAGGAGGCACAGAGAGACAGGCAGAGAGACAGAGATAGAGTCAGAGACAAAAACAGAGAGAAAAGAGCAAAACTAATACACAGCCATGATCCAAATATAGGAAAAAATTATGTTATTTTTACCTTTTACCCTATACGCTAACATATTTCAAAGTTCTATTATAAGCCTGTAATAGGTAGCTAAAGTGAAAATATTATTTAAAATAAAAATGCATCTTTCCCTAACAGGGGAAACATTTGCCAAACAACTTTAAGTCTGTTTATGATTCTATTATTAACTGTGTGACAAAAAATAAATGCAGACATATTATATAAAATACAGATGATAGAAAAAAGGAAAAAGGAATGAGAATTATCCATGGATAGTTACTATGAACATATAAATATATGAATATATAAGAAATGGAATACACTATACATCGTATTATATTCTTAACAAAACTAATAAAATGTGACATTTTTCCATGTCTTTAACTATCCTTTTACATGATATTATTCATAGCTGGACTGTACCATAATTTTTTAACCAATCTCTTGTGTTTAGATATATTATTTGTTTACAAAATTTATTATAAGGCTGTAAGGAATAGCCTCATTTTTCAACGTCTCTTATGAATCTCACTTCTACCTCAGTTAACCCAGGAGTCTAAAAATCCAAAGGAACCCAAATATTTAGCAAAGGCAAAAGCGATACTTCTTTAGTTTATATTGAGATTTTTATTATAGTAGAAATAACATTTTACTTTATTTTTTGGTCATCTTAGTGTGTATACGAGAGAGAGTGAAAGCGAGAGAGAGGCTGTTGGTTCACGTTCTGACCTGTGTTTTTATTGAGAGGTGATGACTATTCCGGATGGTTGTAAAGTTAGACAGTGGCCCTCTCTTCACAGCAACCAGGTGTTGTGCAATATTTTCCTGGTTGCCATGAACATTTTCACATGAAAGTTTTCTTTTATGGTGTCTGACTTTCACTTTTCTTCAACTTGATAGTACAAATATTCATCTTTATGCTTCCTTCTCGCACTTGAATATATTAAATATTTTATTATATGTACTTAATATGTAATGGGAATTCACATCGTATGGAGTGGATGGTGGATTTATTTTGATTTCCTCTCCAGCAAACTCACTCATTCTAAGGTCAAATTTCAAATGTCACCAACAAAACAATGCTGTGGCAGACTGTGTAACTTTTCTGAATCTTAGATGCCTTAAATCATCTCATGAGATTTTTCTGGATAAAGACTATAGGAATTGATTTCTCAGCAGGAGCACATGACCGTACAGCTTTAGCCAAGGGAGGGGCTTCCTTTTTCCACAGAGGAGCGGCAGTTTTCTGGACTTGCCTTTACTCAGGTAAGTAACAAGAAAAACATAGATATCTGGTGGATGGTGGTTTTGTGCTTCCAATACAACTAACTTAATATCCCTTGTTCCTTTTTACAAGCCCTCTACAGTTCTGTCACTTTGAAACTTCCACCTAATAGTTAAGACATTTAAGCACAACTTATTGAATATGAATTCTTCCTTTGTTTGCTTAAAATATCACTTCTTTATGGGCTTTTGATCTAGTTAGGTTTATTCTTAATGCCTTATTCTTATATGTTAATGGTTTATTTTTATATGTCTGTTCTTAAACCAATATCATATTAGCTTATAGTTCAAAGCCTTGAAATATTTGGATCTCATGATTACACAAAAATGCCTATCGTTCTTCTTTTCAGTCCTGTTGTGGTGGATCTTCCCCATAGTCCTGCAGTGAATGGAGTCGTACCCTTTTGGGCTGCCTGGTCTGAACCATGACAAACCCACATTAGCCCTATAATCTTTCAATGTCCATTAAAAAAATGTGTACAATTTACCCCCGGTTGTCTACCAGATAGCTGAGGAATGCTAACCTCATAAATATGCATTTTTGCACTGTCAAGTAAAGCTTTTAGTTTCTTATAAACATAGTAGGTATCAGAATGTGTATCTGGTGGACTAATGCGTTCACAAAACAAAAGGGCTCAATACTCATGTTCACAGTAGCATCATTCAAACAGTCAAAAGGTGGAAGCAAACCAAGTGTCTATCAGTGGATGAAGGTACAAACAAAGTGTAGTATAAACATACGATGGAATATTATTCAGTCTTAAAGGAGAATGGAACTCTTAGCACATGGTACAACAAGAACAAAGCTTGAGGATATTTTGCTAGGTGAAATAAGTCAGTCACAAAAGGACAAATACCACATGATTCCACTTCTCTGAGGTCCCTAGAGTAGCCAGATTCATAGAGACAGGCAGCACAATGGGGGCAGCCAGGGCAGGGCAGAGAGTTCGCATTTAATGGTTCAGGGTTTCATTTTTTCACAATAAAAAGAGTCCTGTGCATGGATGGTGATGATGTGCACAGCAATGTAGATGTATAATGTCATGGAATTGTCAACCTAAAAATGGCTAAGTGGCAATTCTAATATGAGGAGTATTTCATCACAATCAATCAATCAAATAAAAATAAAACAAATAAATCAAACCCAAAAGGGTTGTAGCTGATAAGTTTGAAAATTCACATCAGCTTCATTTTCTCTGAGAGTAAAACACAAACAGGTGTCCACCACACAATGACAAGGAAACAGAGAAGTAGGAAATAGTGATCACTCTTTCTTTGGAGGGACTGAAGACCAGGGCGGTCAGGGAGGGTAGCAGGCCAGGGGCGCGTGGTACATGTAAGTATGTGTTTCAGTTTCCCACTGGGCGCGGGCCGCAGACCAGTGGTGTAGCCCTGACCTCCTGGTTCCCTGCAGGCCTCCCTTGCAGGGCTGTCTCACTGACACATGGGTAGGACCCGGGCCATGGGCATTCAGGGAAGCACGGACAGACTTCCTCCCCACAGACTGCGCCCAGCGCTGCCTACGGCTCTGTGTGGGAGTGTCTCTGCCCTGCCGGAGGGTGAAATTCAGCCTCGAGGCTTCAGGAGGGCCTGGGCACTTTGGGACTCAGCACCCAGTCAGGAGGACTCAAGAGCCTGGGCGCTCTGCACGAGGCAGGCTGGGAGAAGCCCCTGGTGCCAGGACCAACAGGCCACTGCTGCTGCTACCCTGCACCCACCGCTCTTCTCAGGGCCACAGACATTGCCCTGGGAGTGGCCTCCTCCGCCTGCGAGCGTGCTAGCTGGCATCACAGAAATAGCTTTCTACCTTCGTCTTACATTAACGCTCTTCTAGTGGGCAGACATTTTGTTGGCTACCTCTTTTTGTCTCACGTTAGTATGACTGAACATTAGCCATGCCTTCTTTTCTCCCCACCCCGACGCTGCACAGCACTCCCAAACACAAGAGCTGGAGGCCGACAGGACGTGCTGCAACACTTACAACTGCCCATATGGTTCTGAAAGTCCATAGTCATGTTGCTCATGAAGTCACTGCTGACGATGTCTCGCCACTGGATGGTGTCCACATTGCACAGGACAGGGTTGTTGCTGAATCGTACGGCGCCATGCAGGATTTCTGCAAGAGAATGCAACCACCATAAGGAAAATGTCAGCTTCTTCATATTGTCTTCAAGTACATATGCATTTCTTTTCATTCACATTCCACCAGTGTGCAAATGAGAAAAATGCCAGTGTGCAAAGAAAGTCCAATGGGTAGGCCTGTGACAGCTTCGTTGGGGGAAGGGGCGGGATGAAAAACCAGGTAATGGTAGGACCTTGTGTGAATTTGGCCTTGAGCAATAATTAGAAATTTGGAAGTAGAGGAGGAAGGAAGCAAAGGGCTTAGTCAGTGGAAACAGCACAAGGATGCGTGTCCAGTGGGCCGAGGCTCCCTAAGGGCTGGTCGGCTGGATTGGAAGGATTGCGTGACCTGTAGGGGCAGATGGGGCAGGGAGCCAGCCTGCGTCAGCATCAGCCTCCACTTAGCACACTCTGAGATGGTTTGCAGATTCCACTGGAGAAAAGGCCACGAGAGTGACCTGAAGCAAAAAGGACCTGTATGGACGATGGACAGACAGATAGACATGAGGGATGCCAAGGACGCCCAGCTGTCTGGAAAGAAGAACTGAGAGGATGTGAAAGAGCAAGGTTGAGAGAAAACTCAAGCCTGTACAAGGGGAGAGTGCTGCATCGATAACATTAAATACGAACATTTACAGACAACTTGTCTGTACAAAACCCTGTGCAAGTGCTGATGGCTCTGCAGGCATGAGCAAGACCTTCTGTTTCTCTCTGTGGGGGACAGTCACCCAGTGTAACCACCTCGTGCCTAGGGAGACTTTGGCACACAAGGGGTGGAGTACTGCACTAATTGGTTTGTGAGCAAGACTTTTGTTCATCCTCACAATGATCCAATGACCACCTGCAATTTAAATGTAGAAAAAGTCAACCTTAGACACATTTAAGAATGTCTAGCAGTTGAAAGAAACTGCCAGGGGAGGGTGGGCATACCTCATCAACAAGGTACCTACAAAATGAAGATTTGTATGCCTAACCCTGAATTGTACTCCACATCTTTAAAACAGACAGACAGATAGTAGATAGATAGATAGACAGACAGATAGATAGATAGATAAAAAATGCCCAGCACTCTGCAGAGAATGAACACCTCATGCGCACAAAGTACTGATGTGGGAAAGGAAGGCTTTGTCCAGAAAAATCTTGGAGGATGCTGGAGAAAAGATTTCCCCAGGAGATGGACAGGCATACATTCTAGGGGAAGAAGGAGGCAAGAGTGCTGAGGGCATCCTGTACACAGCAGACCCAGAGCAAAGGCGGGGAGGGTGCAATAGGGGGAGGGCTTCTTTAGTGGATGGTGGCGAGCAGGAGTTGAGGGAGGAAGGCCGGTGGGTCTGAGAGCTGAGCCGTGGTGCTGCGTGTGTGAGGTCAGAGGTGGCAGCAGGGTGGCTGTGGACACCCTCAGGTGGTGCAAGCAGACGGAACTTATGGAGCTCAGGACTGGAAACACATGTCTAGGCTGCTGTGGCAACTCAGACAACAGACCAAGGGGCTGAGCGAGAGATAAAGAGGGAGAGTCAAAGGCAGGGCCTTGAGAACACCCAGTCGGCAGCTGTGAGAAAGAAAGGGGACAGCAAAGGTGTCAGGGGCGGGGGGGGGGGGGAGCCCTCTGGGTGCTGCATCCTGTGGCTCAGAAAGTTTTTCACTTTTACTTTCCACGTTAATGGAGGCGCACTTTCTGGCAGGCCCCAAGCTGATTATTAACAGTACTACAGTAAATATCTGGATCCGTACAAGCCCAACCTTGGTTTTAAAAAAGGCATCATGCCCAGGACAGTGAAAAGAGCTGCCGAGTGCTTTTCCAATAGCCATTCACTTAATTTTCTCAACAACCCTAAGAATTATGTCACCATTTTAGCAAATATGCCACCCATGGTTTTGAACGTGAGGAAACTGAGGCACAGAGAGATTAAAGGACACACTCCAGAGTCATCTGGCTGCTGAGGGATGGAGACGGGGCTGGAACCCTCAGAAACATATCCAAGAAACATAGCAAGAAACGTAAAGATTCCGAGTAAAAGAGAGTGGGAGGGAGCTTGTGTATGCAAACAGTGAGTAAACTGCCAACCATATTACCTAGACTGCAAGGGATAAAACGTGCACATCAAAAACCAGCCTACATTTAAGTCAGCTCCATGAGCAGCACTGTCATACTGAAAACCTTGGTAACTGTAGGGATTCAAAGTATTGTAGAAATTTGGATTCTTGTGAGTAGGACACTTATGAGGTTCCTATGAGAGGGAACTGTGAAGGATGTCAGAAGAGAGGGCAAGTTGATTTTTAAAAACTGGAGAAGACAATCCCCGTGCCCCCCTCTGTGGCATGTTTGGGGCCAGAAATGCTCAGCCAATACTTTCGTTTAATGCCCACAACCTTCCCTCAAAGTAGGCATTATACAGATGCTTCTCAACTTACAGTGGGGTCTCATGTGTATAGACCCGTCGTAGGGTGAAAATATCGTGCGTGGGATTTCAGGAGCACACTGAACATGTATCGTCTTCACACCATGGTAAAGCTGAACCATGCTGAGCCAGGGACCATCCAGGCTCTGTCATTTTACAGATGAACAAACGGCAGTAAAGCAACTCTCCCAAAGCCCAAGCTCGTGAACAGAGAGACCAGCCAATGCCACCAAGTCCCCGCCCCAGGGCTCCTGCCAACCTCTCTGTGCTATGCAGTTCTAGTGGGGAGGCAGGACTGATGGGAAAGGTTGAGACAAAAAGGGGCTGCAGAGGCAAAGGGAGAACTACTGGGTGTGACAGGAGCCCCACAAGGGTGCAGTGTTGGGATCCAGACCAAGTACCTGGAGCCAAGAACGGGCCCAGCCAGCCACTCCCCTGGCGTGGCTCCTTGACTTACCAGCCTGTAAAACTGCCTTGTGAATTCCCTCCCACCACTTTAACTGCTCCACACACCCACGCACATGCTTCCGTGTCTGAGATAATACTAACTCGTGTTGTGCAAGCATTCTGTGAAATGGCCTATGACACCGATCCATCTGGTGTGCCTCACACGCTGCCATGCAGACAGATAGCTCCTTAGGGGAGCTGGTACCTGGCTTACATCTTCCCTTCCCATTCCATTATCTTCCATCTTCTCAGCAAGTTCCTCAGGGGCAGCTGATGACTATGTCTTCTCTTAGGCAACATTAGAAAACACGGCAGGTTCGCTGAGTGCCATCACAGTCCCTCTGCAGCCCAACCTCCCACAACATCCTTGGACTCTCACCCTGTAAGTTTCTCATGGGTAGCTCCCTCAGTCCGGTTTTATTTGCACCATAGTTGGATAAGACTGCCAGGGCGTAGGAGTTTTCATAGTACACATTTCCTCTGATGATCTGCAGGCTTTCCAAAGGAATTCTCTCCACTGTGTTGAGGGCGATGAGGACATAACCGGCCACTTCCTGGATGGTCTAAGGAGATAAAACATGAGCATGTGACTTCTCTTTTGAGGAATCAAGAATTCACAGTCTAGAATAGGTCCAGAAAGCCCTGGGACACCCAGCTGAACTGTAACACATGGGAGTGGTCAACAGACGCAGAATACACAGATAAGGAAATGGGAGGCAACAGACTTGCAAGGATCCCTGTACTTTTGCCTTGAAGCCTGTAACAAGAGCAATGTGCGTTATTTAGGAATGCTAAGGTTCTCATCCCACTCGGTGTTCAACACACTCTGATGAAAATGGAAATAAAAAAAAAAGTTATTCTATATCCATCATACATGAATCCTTATTTTAAAAAGAAAGAAAAAAAACAGAAGAAGGCCAAGCCAATCCAGCCAAAGTTCAACTACCACCAAACTCTGAAGCCTTCAGAGATGGCTCCTACTGGTACACTAGAGTCCATGAAATAATTAGGAATTTTGTGACTGTCTCGTGAAACTCTCACTGGCTTGAAATCAGTTAGGGTGAGGGTATTCACACCAAGGAAGTAGAGAAATGCTACAAGGCGGGAATATATATATATTTTTTTAGGAGCCAGTATAGCAGCACACCACGGCTGAAGCAGTGGGTGGGGATAAACATCCGTGTCTGATGACAGGAATGCCAGACTGACCTGTTTCTCTTTGATATTCTTTTCTGGCTATTATGGACACTAGCTAAGTGGCCTTCTCTTGAAACTCTCAGCTGTAGCCCCTAGGATTCATCGCTATGGCAAAAGTAAACCCATTCCAAGTTAAATTCTGCCAAGGCCTTTATCTACTTTTATTGACTTCTCGGTATCTGGGTAGGATGGCCCAAGTCTCTGAGCTCACCTTTAGGAAGGAAAGGTCGTAGTTCCTCTGCACATAGGTGATCTCCAGATTCCCAAGGACCACCTCACAGTTGTTGAACATCCGCTGGAGGCTCAGAAAGTGATCTTCGAAAGTGCCCAGCTGGGTGAGCTTGTTGCTTGTGCCTTGGCAAACTGGAAGAACAAGGAGGCACTGTCACAGGAGATGCTGAGAAATGCTCAGGAAAGGAGCACAACTGAAAGCACAATGTTTACTGACTCTGAGGACTTTAGTGACTGACAATGTTAATTCTAGTTGAAGAACACATCGAGACAAACGGGATAAAAGATGTCTGCTTATATAAGGCACAATTTTAATGAGATAGTTTGATGTAGTGTATGAAATATACAAAGAAAGGTTTTTTAAAAATTCAAGAGGGAGTAGACGAAAATTCTATGTCTTCAAGATAGGACATGTCTATAGAAACTTCAGAAGGCCAAAAATAAACTCCACAAGGCACTTCAATAATATAATTACAGGGTGAGTTAATAACTATACAATAAACTTTTTACTTTGCAAAAAGGTAGTATGTTGCGTTACTGTGTGTGCAAAGAATGTTTATAAATATCACATACACCAGGCAACAGTTTCTGACCAAAACAATGTATATCTAAAATCAGTGACCACAGTGTAAGTTTAAAACTGAACCAACTGGAGATAAAAGGTATTCTTCCAAACTAACATTTCAAAGAACAAATCAAAGGCCTAATTTTAGAATATTTAGAAAATAACACAAAGCACACTCAGCTAGTGAGAAAACAACACATCCCTTTGTCCACACTCTGTCAGCTCACTCAGAGCAGGTGTAGGCGCAATTGCTTTGAATCACCTGCCAGTACACAGCCTTGGCACACTTAACTCCCTAACGTTTAAGGCATCAAACTTAACCCAAGGAAACGTTTTACATTAGAGGACCAAGTGAGACTACAGAAATGAACTTGGTAGTCTATATTTAAAAGCAAAGGAGATGATTATAATAGAGTGATATTTACAGACCTAGCTCTTTGAAAGGCATGTTTAGGCAAACATAACAAAACAAAGAGTCTTGAGGTTTTTGAGGCAGAGAGCTTGTTAGGGGATGATAATTTGAGCCAAAATTATCCTAAGAGGGAAGAACTACGGCCAATTGTTTTCAATGTTAGATTCAGACCTGGCCTGGTCTCCTTTGTCTGCAAACATGCTACAGCAATCACGGTAACCAGGAGGCAGAGCACAAAAACAAGGCCAAAGTCAACACACTGGCATTTTCTTCAGGAACTCTTTTTAATGTGCATTTCTATTTTACAGGCTTCTTTGCCCCGCCACCCCCATGGGAATTACTCTAAAGAGCATGATCATCTGACTGTCTGTCTTTGCAACGAGCCATGGCAATGAGCACATGTTCAGACACCACATAATCGACCCAGAACGTTTACACAAACATTAAATCTGAAGCAATATTCACATCCTCTTTAATTCTACGGGGATGTCCCTCTTCTTCCCTTCTGTGTTCTCATTCAAATTTGGTGGTAGAGAGACTTTTCATGTGGGAGCTGTGAAAGTCGACAAGGTGCAGTCCCTATCTCTGATCTCCAGGGGCAGAATTATTCCACGATTTCTCCAACCACAACTCTGGATGGACCCATCATCTCCAGTCTGCTTTCTCCCGGGAGTATGGGCTGCACCTCAAGTTGGAACAATTGTATAGTTGTGTGCTACACATGCAGACAGGACCAGACAGATTCCCCAATTCTAAGGTCCTTGAAGATGTCACTATTGATGTAGGTATAGGATTTTGACAACAACATGCGACCTTTGTTGGCACACCTTGGAACAAAAACTGCTTTCTTAGCTGCCGGATGATGGCCTCTTAACTCTCATCCTAACTGATCGGCTTGGGTCCAGGTAGCTGCAAGTGCTGGCCGGGCCCTTTATACTAAGCAGGTGAACAGGGTCAACGAGAACCTGGAACCCATTTCAAAGGAGTTTCTTCAGTGTTCGGGGGATGAAAACAGAGACAGCGGCTTCATTTTACATGATCAAGGACATCAGCTTGCATGTTTCTCTCAGCTGCATCATTGAATTTTTACTGTTAAATAAATAGGTAACTTTTGTCAGAGAGATAAAGAGAAACATGCTATTTAAAATCAGTCTGTTAAAGAAAACAATACTTTCATAAAAGATTGTACTTGTGCTCTCATTCATGAAAAAAGAGCTAAGTGAGCACCAAGGGAATTTATTTCACAAATACCCATCATAACCCTCATTGTCCACAATTAGCATGATTTTTATGCTAAAAAAGCTTCTGTATCTGGAAGATAATAGCAACATTACAGATGAATAATGTGAATGTCAATTCCTAAAACATTTTGGGAAGCAACTTGACAACTTATGCAAACAAATAAATATGCTTCAATTATATATCACAATGATTCCACTTTGGAACACCTATTCTGAAGAAATAGACCTCAATATAGAAAAAGCTTCATGCAGAATGTTGTTCACTATTTATTTTTTTAAATAACAGCAAAAAATTGCAAAGAAATCCAAATGCCCAATTACCCAAATGTCTATTCTTGAGAATAAGAGAGTAGTTGAAATATTGTTTCATTCAATATAAGGCAAGTCCATTCAATATAAGGCAAGTTATATTTGGGGGTTTATTACTAACATACCAAAATAAATCATTATAAGGCTGTTTTTTCCTAAGGCTTTCTTCAGTCCAAAAGGAGAAAGCAGCACCTAAGTGAAATCCAGGATGAGAGTCATAATGATTGGTCTATGTTTCCTGATTGAAAGGAAGAATAGCCTTGGTTCTATCGTCATACCAAATATCCCATGTTTCAAAGATAAAGCAATGAAAAAATTTAAATATGAAACCACTGGTACAAGTAAAATTATTTTCAAAATAACAATCACAAACTAATTAGGCAGATTTAAAGCAAAACTGCAAAGAGAAAGAGTTTTTAAATTAATACAAGAGAAAGTTTTTGTTTAGCCACTTCTTCACTACGTGACCTTGAACCACTTCCCTATGCTCTCGGTGCCACATTGACCCCCCCCCCCCCCGCCCTGTGAAGCTCTTGTGTTGGAAACTCAATCCCCAGTGCAACAGTGTCGAGTGGCAGGAGACTTGAGAGGTGAATAGGTCTTACCGGCTCTGCCTTTTTAAATGAATTCATGCCGTTATTATGGGAGTGGGTTAGTGATCATGGGAATGGGTTCCTGATAAAGGGATGAGTTCAGCCTCTTTCCTGTCCCCCTCCCCATCTGACATGCATGTTTTCTTGCTCTTCTACCACAGAATGGCACAACATAAAGGCCCTCACCAGACACCAAGCAGATGCCAACACCATACCCTTGGACTTCCTAGCCTCCAGAACCATGAGCCAAATAAATTCATTCTCTTTATAAATTAGCCAGTCTGTGATATTCTATTATAGCAACACTAAACAAAGACAACCAAAACAAAGAATTTTTTTTGAAAACTGAATGAATATATAAACTTTCAATGTTCTTTTATTGAAGTTAACTATTGAGAACACAATAGTAACATAACACGATCTAACATAACCTAACACGCAACTGCACAGATATTGGGAACCTCAGTCAATGTAGACTGCCCTAAATTATTGTCTAAATTGGAATGTTTGGGGTTGCATACAGGCTTACACAAATGTTAGACATTAAACAAAGTTACTTTGTAGAATACTTATCAAATCAGAGAATAAGAAAAGAAAAAAGTATTTAAGCAATTTATTCAAAAAAGAAATGTAATGATGATTCAGGTCTATACATTTTAAAACCAGACAATTAAAAAAATGTGTCAAACTCCATACAAAATGCTATGGTTTGCCCTACCTCTTGCAAATCTGAAGATAAATTCTACTCTATCAAGAGCAGCAGGCCTGGACTTAGGTCCTCAAAGCACTAGCTTCTTGACCTTGAATTTTATCATAAAGATTTATGATTGTATAGAAAAGCTGAAAGAACATCCTTATGTAAGTATTTTACTATATTCACTTGATCATGTAGCTATGCATCTGACTTTTGGGGTACATTTAAAAGTAACATAGAAATATCAGTATACTTCCCTTTGCCACATCACTGACTACAGTTTAATTATTAACCTACAGTCATTGCAGTTGTTTCAAGGTAGCATCCTCAAACTGTGAGAGGATTAATCTTAAGTGTAGCATGTGATGAGTTTCAACAAATACATGTGCCTGTGTAACATGGACTCCTATCATGACAGACACCATTCCTATGCCCTTCCCAGTCAATCTTTATCCTCATATACCAGAGGCAACCACTCTTATTATCTGCTTTCACAGTAGAATATTTTGCCTACCTTGGAACATCATATAAATGCAATCACCCCATACTGCCCTTTTGTGTAAGACTTAGTTCACAGCATAGTATTTTGTGCTGTGTAGCACTTAGCTGCCAGTGACCGATTCAAAAAAGTGGACTGGGGAAAGTGGACTGTGAAAGTGGACTGTGTATTCACCTTAGACATCTACAGCTGATCCACTGTCTGTTGTTTTGTTTTTTCTTAAGAAAACTGCCACTTTATCGTAACTGGAAGTCAAGACAATCTGCTTCCTTCAAGTTTTTAAATGTACACTCTTATAGAGCAGCCCTGTAGCCTTCCTCTGCCATTATGGGGGTGTACATTTCTCTGTCCACAAGCCTGGGCAAATCTATATTACTGATTAAAATGCAACATTAAAACAAGTTTCTCTAGATTTGCCCAAATCCACTTAGACACTTTTTGAATTGCCCAAGTCAAGTTATAACTGTTTTAATTTGTTGTTTTCTCAACTATACTTTGATGGCTGCCAAAGTTTGGCTCTTGTATGTTTCTCTCCCTGGCCTCCTCCTAAGTTGTCTCCACTCCTGTCCTCACCTCTTTTTCTACAGAGCACTCTGCTTCAAAGCAGAAATCATATCCTACTACCACTTGGTTCGAACCATCCAAAAGCTTCCGAGTGTCACTAGGATCGTGCAAACGTCTCCCTATGGTCTGTGAGGCCTCCTGCGCTGTCTTCTGTGAGGCCTCCTGCGCTGTCTCCTCTCAGCCTCCTTTTCAGTGGCTGTCCCAGCCACACTTCTCTGCGTCCCTCAACCTGGACCACTTCTACCCACTTTAG